GGTAGAGCATGGGCAAGAGATTGATTGGCCTTTGCTTCGTTGGAAGTGCACAAGAGACCCCTTCCTCAAATTTAGGAATGAGTTGAATCCAAGACCAGAGTTGGCTGTCCTCCCAAACCCCTGCGCGCTCGACCTCAAGAAAAAACTGCGTGAGCTCCTGTCTGGCAGGAGGAGGCCAGGCTTGAAGTTCTTCAACCCGCCAGCGATCTGCCCCCTTGGATGTGCCTGCAGATACGCGTTTAAGGGCACAAGGGCGGCACCTGCGACCTAGGGAGATTACATCCCTGAAGCAATTCCGCAATTCCGCAAAGGCATCTTCGCTCAAGTTTTGCATGGGCTTTTTCCAGTAAGGGAACCAGAGGTCACACAAAAACGGATTCATGTCCGTCGCATTGGCAACAACGCGACCCGAATCCTCAAGGAAAGCAAGCTCTTGCTGCTTGGGCTTACGAACATGTTTCCAAGCTTTTCTTGTGACACCCTTCACCACCTCCCCGTTTCGTGCTTGGCGAAACTGAGTCCTGCAACGCAGACGCAGCGCGTCTTCACAAGACCTCTGATGAAGCCTACACCATGCCCAGAGAGCCTGAACTGCATCAACGGTCAAGGAAGCCGCACAATGAGCAACACACGCAGTACTGGATTTTTCCGCCTCATCAAGAAGCCTCGTAAGCAGGAAGAGGTTGACCCCATGTGTTTGAAAACGCCTCCAGACGGCAGCAAGCAAGGAAGGATTGGAACCTGCGGAGACAGGGCGCGCAACATGTTCTAATCTGCGAAGTTGTTTAAGACGAGATCTTGCCGCATGAGTGGCAGCTTCCTGACACGTGTCCTCAGCTCCGCGACGCGCGGGTCGGCCCTGCACAGGCGAGAGCCTCTGTATGAGGAGACGCGCGTTACCCCTTCCCTGACGCGAACTGTGGACCTGGGCACCGAGAGCCTTACGCAAGTGAAGCAAAAACCCTTCAGCGTTCCTGCCAGGACTGAAGACTTACCACCCCATCCTTAGCAAAAAACTGTTCCCAAACTTCGGTTTTACCTGCAGCAAGAGCGGAGGCAACCCCATGCTTTTTTACTACGTGACGCCTCAAAGCACGAACAAGATCAGCATCGCGACCGTGGAGGTCCAGGGACAGCAGGCCTCTAGGAACAACCCTGGGACCAGACGAAACACCCCACTGGAAGGCCGCCACGACTGAAGCGCGGCGTGACCGACCACTGCGGTACGACACGTTTGTATGGTGCGCAGTGCTGCACACGCAAAACTGTTACCAAATATAAGAACGATGCGTTTGCATTTTGCATCCTTGTTCTGCTTGTTCGTAGGGCAAATCTTGCCCTTAGTGGCGGCTGCATGCCATGATACCAAGTCATGCCAGCCCAGCGACTGGACTTGCTTCAAAACAAGAGACTCGTGAGGCGGTCCCCTGAAAGAATCAGCTATCTCGAAAGCTTCAGAGAACAGACGGTGCTCCGGATGACCTCCCGGATCGGCCCAGAGCTGCAAAAGTAGCACTTGCATAGGCCCGTTGCATGTAGAAGGACCAGGACCCTGCTCATCAGCCGATGTTGGGAGTCAGAGGCACAAAAAAAAGACTTGAGCCCCACTTGTGTGAAAGAAAAGCCAGACCGCCCCAGCCGTTGAAGCTTGAGTTTTGACCCAATGAGTTCTGCGCCGGTCGCGCATGGCCCTCTAAGCCAACCTCGACTTGGAAACGTTTCTGACGAACGGCATTAGACCAACCGCTCAACCGATCCCCAACTAAGCTAGCCTCCTGGATAGCGTGTACGTGGGAGGGCCAGGCAACAATGTCGTCACGGTACTTGGCGGCCGACGTAACGTTGGTAGTACAAATGGAGGTCAAACCTCGTTTGTGAACAAGCTGGAAAAAATTTCCCAATGTATCAAGTTGGCAGCCCGCAGAGGCCCACCACTCCTCCCAATCCTCAGGTTGTGTCTCCTCATGCAGGCAGTCAGATTCAGAATCAGAAACCTTCTGATCTCCCCCAAAGTGCCCTCCGCAGACTTGCGTGTAGGGCTACCATGACTTGAGTCCTCAGTATGTGAACCCAGGATAGGCTGTGCAATCTGGGTGGGCATACAACTTACACGAGCAAGCGCATCGTAGTGGTCATTGCCATTGCACAGAATTTCCACACGTTGACCCCTACCAGCTTGAAAAACCCCATCCCCACTGCAGACTACGGTAACTAGTTGAACCTGAAGTTCTTTGGCCAGCACTTCGATGACCAGAGTCTCTCCCCAGGCACCCCCTTTTAGACGGCGGATGTAACCCAACCTATCACTACAAAAAAAGAAGCAGCCCCGCCAATGAGGATTATTGGCCAATGCTTCCACTGCGAGAACCCGGGGTGTGGGTCCATCATCGCACGGCTGATTGCACAGCCCCATCATAAAATGACAGTCGCTGGCATTCTGAGTCCTGAACTTTCTTATCATGCTCCACTTTCATGGCGGCCTTCTCCACATGCCACTCACGCTCTGCAGTTTCACGCAGCTCCTGACGGGCACAAATCATGACTAACACAATTAGTGATTGCGGGGCAGCGTGATCCAGGTCCTTCTCAAGCTTCAGGCAGTCAAGCATCTTCTGGGCAGCGGAGTGGATGGAGCCACGCATTTTTGACGATGTGCTCCTGACGCTGACACCTCCCACACACACCTTGGATTGCAGTCACTGACAGACTGCAACGACTGCCACTTGGTCCTGTTGTGACTCTCACTCTTGCCACCGCCCTTGCCTTTTGGGTTGACACTCAGAAAATCCATGTCACGCTCAGAATAAGAAACCCTTAACATATTAATTATTATAGCGGCGAATTTTTCTGGGTCAAGCCGCAACCCTTGCTTCACAGTCAGGCCCGCGCTGGAAATGCTTCCTGTCAAACGCCATGACATAGGTAGTCACTCTGACTCTCACACTGGATGGCTAGGGGCAAGGTCAGGTTTGCTTTGGAAAGGGCGAGGTTTGTCTTAAATTCATCGATTCAAACCTGACCCTGACCCTGCCTTGAGCAAAAAGCAGCAGAATATTAGCTGAACCCAAACCATGATGCTCCCTCACTCTGGCCGGCGTGTGCAGAAGATCTGAAATTAAAAAACTTCCGAAAATACAACCCAGTCGCTGTCGTCTTGCACAAAGACTGTGGCCTCCAGCACCGCAATGATGGCGATGGTGATAATGAAGCCAGTCTGGCCAGCGCCGACGGTGCAAGCGGACACGTCCTTTGGCACGCCCTCAAAGCCAGGGAGCTGCACCAGGCTCTGAGTCAACATCCCAAGTGCTCCCATCATAGCCAGTCTGCCGTGCTTGATCTCCTTAGCCCTGAAGTCCTTGAAGGTCGCCTCGTCCTTGCAGAGGTCAAGAGGATCGAAGTAGCCGAGCGGATCCATGGCGCCAATTTGGCTTTCCTTGCTGAAGTTGCAGACCACCTTCTGCTTGCGAGCTACAGGGCGCTGCGCGCCAAGGAAGCTCAGCGCCACTGCTCCGGCGGACGCAGCAGCCAACGCGGACTTCGCGCCGGAGCAGGACTCGGACTGCACGCCCGCGGACCCCCGAAGTGTTGCTCCCTGGACTTGGGAGATTCCAGGGGCCACGAAGGCATCTGCGCAAGGCGCAGCAAGGAGTCCGGCGGCAAGCATGGTCTTCACGGAAGCCATGGTGCAAAGGATCTCAGCGAGTCAGGACTGGAAACAAGGGACACTGAAGCCAAACTTAAGCCCAACAGTTGCCCGAATGCGAGTCTTCAAACCACTGCTTCCCAAGACATCACGCGCTTTCAAGGCATGATTCCAAGAAATGTACAATTACTGGCTGGAGTCATTGCAAGCAAGCCGCCTAAACAAGGCTTCTTACGCCCACAGGTCATGCCGCATGGCTTGCACTAGCCAGATGCTCAGCAAGGCGAACAGAGAAGGGGATCTGTTAGAGATCATGCAATCCACCGCAATGAAAGCTTGATGTCCTTGCTTCTCGGGCACCCTCTCGTTGAGGCAAGTGACGTGCCACAGTCGCATCTTCCAGGGAGCCATCCTGGAAAAGGTAAAGGATAACAGGTGAGTAGCGTTCTTCTTGGTGGTTAAACCCAATAAGATTATGTTCCTTAAATAAAATACCATACCCAACAGGCGGATATAATCTTATTCCATTATATTGGGTACTATAGTATCCCCAAGTAAAATACTACTCAGGTGATGCCTGCAACGAATTGAGCATCCCGACAGCACAGAGCCTCTTTGAGGTTGCTCTGCCGGAGGTCTGCTGGCCTGGATGGCAGGTTTGCGCAATGGCTCAGCAAGATTCCGATCGGGTGTTGCACTGGGCTCGCTGCAGTAGGCACATCTGCAACTCTGCGGCGCTGCGGGCCTCAGCAAAGCTCTGCTGCTCTGGTGTCATCTCCGACTCTCGCATGATCTCTCGCAAGAGGTATCTCACAGTATCCCTGAAATAGCTCATGGAGCCCTTTTTTGTGCGACCTATGTGTCTGAGAACTTCCGCTTGAAAGTGTAAGGTTTCCGGGCAACTTGTGGGGACTGGCTTTTGCCGAGCTCGTTCTGGACCGCGCTGCTGTCGCCGCCAAAGCTGAGATGACCCCAAGTTACCATCCTTCCATCGCTGCACAAGGCAGCGAACGCATTGCTCGAAGCTGTGATTTCCACCACGTCGGCTAGTGGATCTCGAAGGCCGCCGGACTCCCAGTGCCCCCAGCAGGCCACGGACCCATCAGCACATAGCGCTGCAAAGGCTTTGCGAGCAGCTGTGATCTGCACAACGTCCTTCAGTGGCTGCGCGGATGTGCTATCGCCTCCGGAGCTGGGGTCACCCCAGGTCACCACGGTCCCATCTCGCAAGATGGCCGCGAATGCATTCTGTGAAGCTATGATTCTCTTTACCTCCCTTAACTCTGGCTGCACGGCACTGCTGTCTCCACCAGACTCAGGCGCCCCCCACGTGATCACACTACCATCTGCCAGTACAGCCGCAAAGGCCCTCTGAGATGCAGCAATCTGCACAACATCAGCAAGTGCATTCTGATCCTTGGCACCGAAACGGTAGTCTCCCCATATCACGACCTTCCCATCAGAGCGTAGGGCCGCAAAGGCGTTGTGGGATGCCACGACCTGTTGAACGTCCTTTAGCTCGGCTCTTCTGTCTTCAGCATGAATGTCTGGTCTTTTTGATCCCCAGGTCACCACGGTTCCGTCGACTCGTACTGCGACAAATGAATAGCTCGAAGCAATAATGCTTTTCACGTTTGTCAACTGAGCCTGAACCGCACGGCTGTCTCCGCCAGCATAGCTGGTTCCCCACGTGACCACGCTCCCATCGGAACGAATGGCAGCGAAGGCATACACTGAAGCCACAACTTCGTTCACATGTACCAATTGACTTTGGACACGCCTGCTATCTCCGCCAAAGTCTGGATCTCCCCAGGTGATCACAGTGCCATCTGCTCGGACAGCAGCAAAAGCCCCATCAGAGGCTACGATGTCGTGAACATCTTGCAACTGCGCCTGCACTTCCGAGCTCTGACCTCCTGAGGAAGGATCACCCCAGGTGACAACGGATCCATCAGCTTTGAGAAGAGCAAAGGCAGCTGCACCCATCTTCGAGATTATTCTCGCTGTGCGAACTGTTGCTGAGATTGTTTCCCCATCCTTCAGACCTGCTTGAGTGACCGTCTGGAACCTGTTTAACAAGCAGCCTTGAGCTGAGATCAAGTCCTTGATCGTCACCTGCAGCTGTTGTTGCGCCAGACGTCTCAACTCAAAAATCTGCATGGTGCCTGTGACAGAAAATGTAGCCTGCTTGCCGCTGAGTAGTGCGATTTGGATCTGCATGGCAGCTTTTCGGTTTAGGGTGTAGATTCCTAGGCTCCAAGCCCTTTGCCTTGTGGCATGCCCTCTCAAAAAATGTGATGAGAAGAGAGGATAGAATGATAAGGCTTGTAAAGGTGCTTGATTGGGCTTCCATAATGCTAGCAAGATGTTGAACCATCCTAGCATCAGCTGAGCTGCAAGCTGCGTAAGCACGCACTGGCACGCTATGCTTAGGCTTCACGCTTGCGGGATGCCCTAAAGTAAGGCGGAAGCTGGCGCAGGAAGTTTGGCAGATAACTTTGACTTGAGGGACTGCAGCGTCTTAGCCTTGCTGTCAGGAAGCAAAATCAATGCCGAAGTTAGGTCCCACAGCATTGAGACCAGGCTTTGTGCGAGTGCGCTGGAAATACCCCTCTGCGCGGCCATGATCAAGTCGTTGCCTACAACAACTTTCTTTGAGCTGATGCGGGCTGCCGTGCTAGCTTTTGAGGGCGCCACAGCCATGGAGGATCTCCTTCCAAAACCTTGGCCAAGTTGACCAGAAAAGTGCCCCCCTAGGACAACTGCAACACTTCTTGACAAGCTATCCTCTCCAGAGGTGCAGGCGCGTCTTCCACACCGCTCTCTGCAAGTGTCAGGGCGGCGCTGATGACGGACTAAGGAGCAGAATTTCTAGGCCATTGCAAGTGAAAAGTGATGACACGCTGGAGGAAAGCAGCAATGTCACAGCACACCCTTGTGTGCAGCCCAGCGACAGAGCGCAGGGCCACTGCAGCCGCCTGCACTTACTGATGCTGTGTTTGCACAGACCGAAACTTCACTGAAGGGCAGCCCTGCTTTGCGTGAAAGAGGTCGCCACTTGAAACAAAGACGCATTCTTAAGCTCAAACTTGGCAACCGTCTGTGAGTAGCTCCTGCTTGCAGGATGCGGCGAGTAGCAGCGCAGCGCGCTGCGCCCCTGGCGCTCCGGCTGCACTGGCCTTTCCGTGGCAGGCCAGAAGCAGCTCCCTGCAATGCTTTTGTTTGGCTCCAGCGCTGCATACCGAACACCGAACCCCGACCAAGAACACGCCTTGAAGAAGCATCAGGTTTGAGGAGACAAGGCATCGAAAACAAAGATGCGCGTCCCCAAGGCTCGATTCCAGTGGTGCAATGTACTTTCCAGCAAAACAGAACGTTTCTGTGAGGCACGGTCTAAATTCCTTGTGTGGGGCTTGCACATCTGATTTTGGTAAGTGGCCTATCGTCTTCCAAGCTTTAGTGGTGGGCCGTTTTTCTTTCTCTGTTGGTACAAGTATAATACTCGAAGGGCCGTCTCCAGCAGCCCTACGGATATTCGTTCTCTGGTAGTACAACTGTAGTACTGGAATGACTGTCTCCCGCAGTCGGGATTTTGGTTCTCTGGTAGTACCACTTTAGAACCGAAACGGCCGTCTCCGGCAACCGGATGGATTTTCGTTCTCAGGTACTACAACTTTAGCATCAGAATGGTTTGTGGAAATTTCGACGTGTCGTTTTTGGTGAGTTTCCGAAGCTTCGTGGCGCTCTCCTTATAGCCCTAGACTTCAATAAAAAAGACAGCGCTTCGTGTGTCAACGGCTATGGCCGAGCGCGGCTTCCTGAGGATTCTGCTGGTCTGCTTGTCGATAAACATTCGAGAAGGCATGTCCAATCTTAAGTGTTCAACTTCTTCCTGACAAATCTTTGGTTGACCACAACTCCATGAACGAGGGCGGGTGACAAGAGAATTTTACGTGCATCTGCGTTTTGGTGCCCTTCTCAGTGTGAGTGCGTCTGCGTGCGTTGCTTCGTTTTTTTGAAACCCTAAAATTTGTGCAAACAGGTCTGACTTGCCAGAAAGAGAACCCTTTGACCAACTTGCAGCCAGAAACATGAAAATCTGCAAACAGCTTTCTAAAAGAGACATCTCTCATCCAAGAAGAGCCTCCAGACAAATTTGCATGAAGCTGCGCCTCCTGGAGGAAGTCCCTCGGATGAGAAGCGTGCCAGGCCTCAGGGACCATCGGGAGCCAAGGAGGCTAAACTCGGTCAACCATGCTTGAAGCCCAGGCCGCGAACCCCAAGCAGCCCAAGGAAGGTTGTAATTGGATACGCAAAGGCCTTAGCTTGGGCGCTCTACGTTGCTCTACACTTGGCGTGAACCTACAACGCTTGACATGGTGGTGCCAAGAACAGGACGCTCTTCGTGGTCCCGGGTGTGCTATTCGCCGTTGTCACCTCTGAGGGCACACGGGGCCATCTACACGAACAAGGCCAGATTGATCGCACTGGACATCTGAGATTGTCCCAAAGTGCTCACATTGTTAAAAAGCCAAGTTCACAGAAATTCATCAAAAGCAGGTTTCGAGGTGCGGACCCAAAGCCTGAAAAGAGGCGCCTGAGCAAATACTTCATGCAAGGAAGCAGGCGGAGCGAGGCTCAAAGATCATAGTGGTCTGAGAGGGATCCTCGCAGAAGGCCCTAGCATTGGCAGTGAGGCACATCCAGGACATGCAGAAGAGTCCAAGCAACATCATCAGACCAAAGCCGCAAGGATTGTCCTTAAGCTGTCTCGAAATGATGCTTCCAAAATCACTCTTACAGAGCCACATCTCTCATTGCGAGTGAGGTCGGTTTGCACGAATGGGAATGTTTGTTACCTAAGTGTAGTGTGATCCCGAATACTCGCATCATGCGACATTTAGGTGCGGGCTGGAAAAACGAAGGGCTGCAAAAGCTCCCATACAAATCCGCAACCCGCAAATCCTACAAATTCGAAACCCCAAAAGCACCAACCCGACAAACTCCGACTACAACCCCACTGGCTCTGAACCCTACCGCTCTACTATAGTATAGGCCTCAAAACCCGTAATCTGAGAAGGAAAAAAAAACCCTCTACACTCTGCGCGCTGAACACCACAAGCCCTAGACCCCCAAAACCTCACACCCAAAGAAACCAAAGACTTGAAAAGCTTAAGCCTCCAAGTACCGAATCCTAAGCCACCCCAAACTACCTGCAAACCCTTGAAGGGCTGAATACTTTCCTAATCATAGACCTCCAAAAATCCCAGTAATCCAACAACCCCGAGCTCTAGGCACCCTCAATTACAAGCCTTAGACTCTAAAAACCTGCAACCCTCAACGACCCTGAACCCTCAAAACCTTCAAGCCCTGAGAATTCTCAGCTGACGGAGCCCAACTCACTAAACCCTCTGAGCCCCGTAGCCTAAGGCCGAAACAGTTAGCCTATGCCTCAAAAATCAGAAGATTGTGAGCACCCCGGATCCTGCCAGCCCTTTACCTGAACAACCCAACATACCTGAAAAATTAAAAGCGCGCAAATTGCTGGCTGGCTTTGGAATCACTCGGAGAAGGAGAAGAATTCGCAGCAGTATTCAAAAATGATGAGATAGTAATGCCAGCAAGCCTCGCCCTACTAGCTTTGCCGCATTTTAAGATCAATTTGCTTTGCATGACGCAGGGAGCGACCTGAGAGTCTTAAGGTAATAGCGCTCCGCCAAACACTCAACATTGCAGAACATGCTGCAGCAATAGGCTTAGCTTGCGCAGCAAGGCCAGCCGAAAAATTGGGAGTTTGCCAGAGAGTGGCCAGCAGTTTCTTCTTCGACCAGCATCCACTGCTTGACAGCAAGGACGGCAAGCTTGTTTTGGAAACCATGGCAACGGCAACAGTTCACCACAAGAAGCAAGAAAAGCAACAGAAGGGTACTGCCGTTACGAAGAGTAGTCATGGCCCGGGAATTCAAGAAGTACGAACACATTACCATGCTGTGATAACAAATCCAAGGTCATAAAGAACAGCAATGACAGGAACAATCTTTGGAACACAGATGGTGCAAGTGGTTAGACTCATAGAAAAACTGCTGGCATGACCGCTTGAAGTATGTTCGGCTTGGCTTTGCTTAAACGAGGGAGGAGTGTTGGGGGAAGGGGGCAGCTGGCTAAGCAATAGCACCAGGCAGTGCGGCATGATAACAGACTGCGGAAAGCAAAGGAAGCCAGAAGCAGCCAGCGGATGCAGAAAGCAGAAAGCAGAGGAAGCAGCAGATCAATCAGATTCCCATGCGAATCGCTACCACTTCATGGAGGCAACGAAAGCTCACCCTCATAAGCTCAAGGCAGCCACTTCTCGTGCCTTTGCCAGAGCCTCAGCAACATGGAGATGCATCCAGCGACGGACAACCAGACAACCAGCTCATGATGCTGCTGGGGGCAGTGCGTCTGCTGTTGGAGCATGAGCCACCAGCAACCTTGGCCGGCTGCACCACAGACATCAACCCACATCAATGACAACCTAAGTCGGAGTTGAAGGCATGCCATTCATCTTTACCGCTACTGAGGTGCAGGCTGCAGCAGCTGCAGGCCTCAAACACTTACAACTTACAAGTCTAACCACAACCAAACAAACTCAAGCTGCTTCTCTTGATGTGCCAGCGAGCGCAAGTCATGCGCTGGCAAGAGAGATGAGGCTGCACATGTCTGAGGTCTGGGCACATGTCTGTCGTTCGGCTCTGATCTGGCATGTTGAGCTGTGACTGGCCTTGCACACGAGCAGTCCGCATGAATCTACATAAGCAAGACCACTGCATGGACAGCCGTGACACCAGACATATCTGGAGTAGCGCCGGGTAGAACTGCACCAGGTGTGCAGCTGCACCTTGCAACGGCTGCAGGGAACTCAGCACTTGCCCTCTTATTTTGATGCTGGGGCAGAGGCCCCCTGAGCAATGAAGTGCACAGTACCTCAGCTACGTTGCGCCAGGAATGCGCACTGGGATACTGGAACCATCAAACCAGACGAGTGAACCCGAGCGGACGTCAGCATCAACTGATGTTGCAGCCATCGGACTCCAGCAGAATATCCATGGTCCATTCCGGTGGAGGTCCCTCAGCTGACCGGCTCACTTTTCATGTGATTGACTAGCATGTCCCTGCTGCTAATGAGCACGGTGCTCCCATCGTCGTCTGCTGCGCAAGGAGCTTTGGAAAGAATGGCATCAAGGGTGCAGCCTGGGAAGCGACAGAACGATTTGCATAACACATAGCGGAATTCGCATGTTGCAGAAGTGATAGCATGCCACGTTGATTGTACCTGAGGCTAGGCTTGCTGTGACTGTGTAAAGTGAAAAGAAGGAGCCTGCTCCACGTCCACAGTTCTCAGCACTCCCAAGAATAGGACCTGCTGGCAGTCTTTAGTTGGCCAGAACTCAGGCTCTTGAAGAAGTGACTTGAAAGTGATGGAATCTGAAGTGCGGGCACTGCCAGAGTCGAAGAGCGTCGCAGTGGCACTGCCCACATCACCAAGAGCACCTCTATGGCTTCCGTAAGCCACTCACATCAGCAGAGCCTACTGGGCCGCGCCTGCTGCAGATTCTGCATCTGCCTTCGCTGCTGACGGGGCATGAAGGAAGGGAGCACAAAATGTCGAAGATGCACGACTCACATCACTTCATCACCTGGACGTCTTCTGGAGGCACCTGCAATGCTGCGGTCGCTTCGTAGCCGCTCCGCTGGGGCGAGGGAGGGCCTGACTGCACGCACAGTGCTTGCCAGCTTGCAATATCTTGCAACACCCAGCATGAAAAATGAAAGATTAAGCCTGTGCTTTTAAGAAGGAAAGACTTCGATTAAAGACTTCTGAAGATGTTGTGTCTGGCCTCTGTGGACAGCATAGCAATCTGAAATGACGGTCAGGCCTGAGCATTCGTGCACAGCACCTTCCTGAGCACTGATACGCATGGGTGTAGCTGAGCCCGCTGCAGCATGATAACAAAGGTGGCGACAGGGCCAACCGAGGACTTCGCGTTCGGTCCGACCTGTGTTCACTGGCACAGCAGGCCTTGAGCAAAGCCCGGTGAAGGCTGAGGTTGGTGCATGAGAACCAGGGCACGGAGCACATCCAGCAGCGCATGCCGGATCAGCAGTTCGCCATCTTCTGGCCGTCTCCTTCAAGGTCGCTGTGGTTCAACATGGCCTCGCCTTTTCGAACTGATCTTGGACAAGCACCAAAGGGCGACCAGCTGCTCGAGAGTTTTCTCCGTGGCCTGCACGATGAGGTCAGGGACTCGATGAACCCTGCCCATCTGAGCCGAGCCTGATAGCGGCCACTCTCGGCCTCTTCGACTAAGAACAGGTGGATCAAATTCAAGCCTTACTGCCACGTGCAGTTCAAACAAGGTAGCAAGAGGAAGGGGAGCTCGGCTGGGCTTCAGGCAGCGCCACTGCACCTCCGGTGCTTTCACGATGCTGAGCAGGGCCTCGCACAGCATGCTACTCTTAAAGATGTCCCAAGAGTCAAGGCAGCGGGTGGCCCTCTTGCCCAACCTGGCCCCTCCCAGCAAACACTAGGATGGCCGTCTTGCTCAAAAATGCTCTCAGCGCTGCACATGATGCGGGCATTATGGCTATGTCAATCTGTGTTGATTTTGTTGCGTGAGTCCGCGTCCGCATCGTCGTGGGTCCAGGTTCGGGGGGGGGGGGCCCTGGCCCTGTCAGGCTGGAAAAAGCCCAGCCAGCACTTCTGCACTTGCTGGTGCCAAAGTGTACAGCATTTATGCTGCGCGGTGTCATCCAAACGGTCCACGTGTTTCGTGGCTTACTCACCTTGTTGGCTTGTTGGTCAGTATGCTGGCAAGTAACCAACAGAAGAAACTAAACAACTCCAAACCCTAACCCTAACCCCAACCCTAAACGACCCCAAACCTAAACCCTCAGCAACCGCAAACATTGAAGCCTAAACAACAACAATGCTTTTGTAAAAGCATGTTCTGGTAGCTTGGATTCTTAAGGTTGTGTCTGTTG